TCCGATTGCAACGTTGCAAATCTCTGCACGTGTTTCATTATTAATCAATTTTATTTTTAGAAAAGCTACACATAGTTTTTTCAGAAGTTTTCGAGAAATTTCCGGAATGATTTGAAATAAAATCACAAAAAATTTCGACGCGATATTTTCGTTCGTTCTGTTTTCTTTTTATTAAACCAAAATTAATTTTGCGCGAGTCAAGTTTCAGAATCGCTGCATCCTTTAAATATCTTCCGAGTTGCTGAATCGTTGCAATTAAGATACTTATTTAGACTTTAAATGTGGTAAAAACCGGGTAGGTACCATCAAAAGAATTGATGCGTGGTCCTAGTTTTGCGGCGATCTTAGCGTTGCGCAAGCCAGGTAAGGGAGCGCGGTCGAGTGTCGAGTCATCTTCACAGTGTGATGCGCCTTCAATCCAGTTAGCGGCAATATGTCTACACCCGTGGTCGAATAGTTATCGCAAGTAACTCTCGTACTGCGTTTGGTGCAATGCGAGAAGTATTCACGCAGTCTTCTAGGCGCTAGTAAGCGGTTGACGCCGACTGCACCGTTTGACGCAATGCGCGAAGTATTCCCACAGTCTTGCAGGCGCCGATAGGAGTTTGGCACTGACCGCACCGTGTTTAGCGCGATTATTTGAACTCGCGTTAGGATAATCGCAGCATCGAAACATGGGGCTTATAAGGCCCATGTTGTGTTTCGACGCCGCATGAACAGCCCTACGTTGCCTCGTTTCTCCCGATAAAACATTTTTTCTGAGTTAAGTTAGGACAGTTTTCTGTGTTCGCTTTTTCAGATTGAATGGACCATTATAAAGGCACCTTTCTGCATACGGAATCCAATGGCATATATGTTGTTTCTAAAATGAGCTAGAGACAGTGGCTCCTCATTACAAAATGCGGCCCAATTGATTGCCTGCGACGTACGTGCACGTGTATTGATGAACGTCGAATTGTAGTGGGAATTTCTGAAAGTTTGCAACACTGTTTTTCCTCCCTTTAAATGTATGTGAAACAATCGATGGATTAAAATCAGCGTGCTTTGTAATGTATCGATTGATCTTCCGTTTAAACCTATGGGAAAGGATCGATTAATAGGGTGTTCGCAACGAACACCTTAATAATCGATTCTTTACCATAGGTTCGAATTGGTTATATCGATAATCGATCATTCACACTCCGCCACTGATTTAAATCCATTGAAAAATATCGATTTTCTGCGTAACAAGCTGCTTCGCCGAGAATCGATTATTTTACATACATTTAAGTGGAGGAAAAACAGTGTTGCAAAATTTCAGAAAACCCCTACTGTTGAAGTGTGGTTACGTTCTTTCGTCAGGGGATACGGCGGTTTCGCCCCGGTCAAACGAAGGACCTTTCCCGCGGAAAACAAAGCTGCTTCGGTGGAGGAACTTTAACTTAGTTTTAAACTCTGTTCGTCTGGTTTTTGTATAGCGGTAGAAACGACGCGCTCGGCTCCAGCTGAGCCATTGTTGCCCTCCTTAGCGATAAAATGCGGATATATTGCAAGGCTTCAAACGAGGGAAACGGCTGACTTTCCAGCATTACCTGGCAACCACGCGGCGAGCGCGCCTCAATTAAAAAGTTAAAATCACGGAGCGGTGCGCGGTGGCGGTCGGAAGTGGGGGAAGGGGGGTAGGGGGGTGGAGGGGGAGAGGGAGGGGGGTTGCGAGGGGCCTTTGTAGCATGAAATGCAATCCGCTTCCGATTCATTGGTCAAAATGAGTAATGAATCAGGATGGGATTGCTATTTTATTGCAATTTGATCGTTTAGGAAACTCTTTTCCTACCTCTCATGAAGAAATAATGAGAGTTGGGAAACCTGCCCCCCTCCATCCGCCTATCTAACGACGGAAGTTCCATCTTTATCTCGGATAAAATATGTTTGCGTTGAAGTCAAGGTCCGCTCTACTATTCTGCCGTGGCACGAAAAAATGCGGCGAGAGCCTTCAGGCGTCGCCAAATTCCCTTCGATGAGATACGGATTTCTGAGGAAATTTTTGTATATTTTCTTCCAAATATTTGGAGAATTACATTCGAAGTTTGATCTAAAGTACGTGCAAATTTTAGAAGAAAATACTCTTGACCTTCCTTAAAAATCAATGATTTGTCAGGGGAAATTTAGCAACTCTTTAAGGCTCATACGGCGTTTTTCCTTAGCGCGGCAATATAAGGAGGGATAGTCCCATTGATTTTGAATTTGAAATCCCTGTGTCGTTGTTCAAGAAACGTTATGGGGTAGGTCTTTAAACACAATGATGTATTCCTGCTCTATTACGACGGTATTTTCCTTTTTGGGCCATTTGGACGTGATTTAGCCTTACTAAAATATCTGGACTGGGCAAATTGCATTTCGAAGTTCGAAACTTCTGGATTGGAGGTTATGTCCGGTCCTGTCTCATCAATATCGATAACGCCTCATTTATTTTCAATCATAAAATGAATGTTTTAAATTTTAAATTCAGCAGTTTTGATTTTAAAATGAAGTTTATAAAGTAAATTTCTCAGGTAGATACGCCCTTATTGAACAAATCCGAACGTATGAAAAATAAGGCAAAGTAATCACTGGAATCCTGATTATACATGATTCTCAGGAATTAACCGGTTACAGATTACTTTCAGTTTTATGATTGGAAGGTGTAAAACAAGAAATGGTGTAAATTTGTTCCCCTTTAAAAATATATTATAGAGGCGGAGATTTTCAGACACCGCAAACGAAGAATGTGATTGCCGACTTACACCGTCGAATTGTAGAATCACACATATCGATGGCGGCCCCCGGCTTTGGCTCCTTAGCAGCCAGGTGGGCGGCCTCCGGGGGGTCAGGCGTCTCGGATGGTGGTGTAACCCCGGAAGTATTTTCCCTCGAAAGCACGTATTTGATTGTTGAAAATCTCACCGTGATTCTTGGATCAATGATTCGCCTTCAAATTGCCGGGTATGCAAAGTGACTGTCGTGACGTACGAATAGTGGTATCACAATTTTGCATAGAGATTACGCATTGATTTGAAGGCGCTCTTTTGTATCCATTGTAAGTGGCCTTGTAGAATAATGGTGACCAATAAGTTCATATTATTGGGTTATCATTCGAGCCGTATATTAGATAATTGCCGAGGAATATCGTTTTTAAAAAAAATAATAAGATTGTTTTTTGTCTCTGTCTTTTTTCAAAAAAAGGAGCCCAGGCGCTTGGGTCAGATTGTGTATTTTAAGTCCTCTCGGTTCGGTCATCGTATTTTGAAGCAAAACTGAAAGAGGCGCCGTTTACAAGATCGCAACTTACTCAAAAGCGGTTGTGAATAGAAAATTTTTCGCTCGGATAAAATCAGCTTTCCTTGATGAATTGTGGATAATCAAAATGGAAGATAAAGTACTTCGTCCATTGGTCCATTTGAAATGCGCACGGATGGATGGAGCATCGATGACTAACTAAATCTTACCGGATGAGGAATTTTAAGTTTAAAACTCTTTTTTCAGTCTTTAATAATGTTCCAAATCCACCATCAAGTTTAGAACACTAATTGCAAAAATGCGTTTTTCGTGATGAAGTGTCAATTCTAAGTGCCGAAAACGCGAATCTCGGCATTTCTGCCGTATTTTCTAACAGTTCACTGGGGGGAAAAAGACACATTGGATCTAGAGTCCAGACTCTTGAAAACATTGACGATGTTGAAGAGTATTTTTTCCTGTCGATGTTTTTAAGAGTCCGGACTGTAGATCCAATGTTTTTTTTCCAGTGTTCGAGAAATTATTCTAAATGCTGATGGAGTTTGAGAAAATATTTTAGTCTTGCCATCTTCAAGAATTATTACCCTTCTACTGACAATAAAGAGGAATGCAGACAGTATTTTTACTCACCTGGAACATCCTGTTTTTCGAGATTCGCACTTCTGCACTTTCACCATCGATAAAGTGCTTCGTATTGTTTAATTAACATTTGCACAGGCAGTGACTGTGATTGTTCAGTCAGTAATTTTTTTTCTCATTAATTTCTTCAAAAACATTCTCAGCTATACATGTTGCAGGCAATTAGCGATCGCCGGCAAATTGCAATCTATTCGTGTTAAATCAACAAATTAAATCGTTTTAAAGTGAAAAAACGAGATCGGAAGTAGGGATTATTATGCTTTGAATTCAAACATACGTTAGCCCCTTCTTCTTGGATGCATGGTACCAGCTAGCACACTCGCGAGTTCGTGAAATGTCATCAATAATTTTAGGTTCGGTTAAGCAACTAAACTAACTCCTTGGCAAAGCGGAGAGTATCGCTGGATTTGAAGGCGTTCCAAGCTGAGGTTGTGGCTTGAATTTCTCCGCTAAAGAAACCTTTACTACATCGATGTTATCGTGATTACAATTTGACGAATTGACAAGTACAGAGCTTGCAAATCGCCGGCGATTGGTGACTGCCTGCGACATATACCTACACTGATTAAGATATCAGAGATATTTATTTCCATCTTTAAGTTTAGATGTACTTTTCTCTGTTCTAATCGGCATGTGTGTTTCTTTTCTGTTTCTGGCGCATCCTCCGGAATTCTTGGATTCAACAATCGATGATCTCCCTGGACAACGCAAATCGTCAATTAAAAAATTGTGATCGTTCAATTGAACGGGACACTTGATTCACTTGACGGAATCTTTAAATTAACTGGAAACTCAAATTTACCACAAATCCTACTCAACCGAAAATCTGATCTAACCCTGCTAACCAAAACTTTACCCAACCACCGGTGACCTTACCCATCGGAAACTCAAATCAATCGACCAATCGTCCGGTCGAATTTTACTTAACCGGACATCGACAACCGTAAACTCTACTCGACCGGAAACGTGCCCCGATCGAAAACTCGACTCAACTGGAAATCGACCCGACCGGACATGTGTTCCAACCCAAAATTTGACTCGATTAAACCGGAAACTTGACTTATCTTTAAACTCGACCCAATGGAAAACCTAAAATGGACGACGAGCAGCAATTCGTATGGAACGACTTTTGTGACGACTACACGGCGACCGACTGCAAGCACACCTATTATCCGTCTGTGATCATAAACGACCGCCTCTACGAGCTGAAGATCTCGGATCTCCCCTCGATCCCCTACTTCCCGGTAAACTCCTTCTACGAGTGGACGGATTTCCGCTTCTACGGCCTAAGAAACGCAACCGCCTACATCCTCGTCTTCGACCTCTCCAACCTGGACACCTTCCAGTACATCAAGACCCTCCGAGAGCAGATCTCCGAGTCCCGCGACATCAAGAATATCCCGCTCATCGTGGTAATTCACCAATTCTCTCAATAAATTAATCGAGTTTTTCCATTTGGACGTACTTCTGCCCAACGCACGGAGAAAAAAACAAGCAGTGAANCATCCGAAGTACTTCGGTTCTCACATCCGAAGTACTTCGGTTCTCACATCCGAAGTGCTTCGGTTCTCACATCCGAAGTGCTTCGGTTCTCACATCTGAAGTACTTCAGATGTAAGAACTGAAGTTTCAGATGTATGATCCGAACTTCGGTAGCTAGACCTAAAGTGTTCAGATGCTCAATCTGAAAACTTCAGATATCCATATGACCTAAACTTCGGGTCCCACGCACGAGTTTTTTTTTCCGTGCGGAACCAGAGACAGGTGGGAAAGAAGGGGTGTGCTCGTTAGTCGAGGGTGTTAAGAATAAATGGGAGCTATAAAGCGCCAGTGACGTCAGCGACAACGAAGCCGTCTCCGTTGTATAGCTCTTAGTCGGCAATTACTCATGAGCCCAGTCCACAACGCTCTTTTCACATGCCTCAGCTCACGATTGCCGCATTCAGTTGGCACAAAGTTCCGTTTGACAGAATGTAAAATCCGGCTTTTCCATTTCTCCAAAGGGAATCACGCTCACTTTAACATTGTGCCCTGTGCAGCTTTCTAAAGCACACCTCATCTTCTCCACGCGTCTATAGTTCCGTTTGGCAGAGATACGTCCATTTGTTAGAGATTTGCAATTCCAAATACTTGCTCTCGCGTAAAATTTTGCGAGAAACACGATAGCCCAGTGGTTTTCTCTGAAATCAATTTCCAAGCTCTAAAAAGCTCTCAAAGTTCGGGCCGTAATAGAGGGGATATCCTACGTTACGTTATGAGTCCACTTCCATACTGCCGTGCTAAGGAAAAGCGCCGTATGAGCCTTTGGGCGTTGCCGAATTTTTAATGATAAATCACGAATTTTCGGGAAAATTCGTAAATATTTTTCTTCCAATTTTTCAGATAATTTTGTTCGCAGTTTCACCACAAACTCCTGAAAATTTGAAGGGAAAATATCCATGGCTTTCCTAAAAAATAAACACTTTATCAAAGGAAATTTGGCGACTCTCGAATGTTCATATGGCGTTTTTCCTTAGCACGGTAGCATACCCAGTTGGACACTCCATGCACAGATAGGGAGAAAATACATTGACAGGGTTTTCACTTTGTTTGGGGATTCCAAAATGGGATCCTGCTAATGCATTTGTTCCCTGCTTGTGCATAGAGAGTTTGACTAGATTTATAGGGGGGTTGTCAACATTGCAAAGTTTTCATCCCGGCATACACCAGTCATCATCAGACGATTTGGCAATGGTAATGCACCAAATATCATGAAAATTAGTACACACCGTTTGATTCATTGGTGACATTCGTAGGTACGTTGAGGAGTGAAGTTTTAGACTTTGTAACCATCGGACACTCACGTAAGACGTTTCAGTTAATTCATCATTTTCCTCCATAGTCTATACAGAGCGCCCATTTCAACCGAAAGGATCGATCAATTTTCCATTTGTCTCCTTTGTCCATGGAAGAAATTGATGATTTAACTGAAAGGTCTTACGTGAGTCCGTTAGTCCATTACTTGTCTCCTCAGTCCATTGCAGTCAACCGCTTCCTCTAATAGGGTCGCTTCATTTTCCCTTTGTTCTCTGTGTCTGTAGGTTTGTCAGTCAATTTTAATTCAATTATAATTTTCAATTTTAATTTTTGTTTTCAGACCGCTCTCAGTTATTCCATGATTTTCCCCTACAGTTTTTTAGAGCCGCCCGTTCAACCGAACTTTCCGTTTTTTATACATTTTCCTCGTCTATCCGTTTTAATAATCAGATCATAAACCAGGAGTTAATTTTTTTTTTAAGAATGTAACTCACTTTCCTTTTCTCGGTCCTGATGCTGTCTTGAATGAAATTCTGTTAGACGATGATCATTTCGAACGCTTATGAGCGTTCATCCTCAGGTCTGAAGGAATCGCGAATCGCGATTTTGTCAACGAAATACGTAATTACATATAAAACATTGAGAGCTTTTAAAAATCACTAAAAATTCTGAAACTCGCGAAATTTCTAAAAGCTTTTAATGTTTTAATTACGTATTTCGTTGAAAAAATCGCGATTCGCGATTCCTACAGACCTAGCTGAAACTGAGCGCTAATAAGCGTTTGAAATGATCATCGTCTAACAGAATTTCATTAAAGACAACATCAGGACCGAAAAAAGAAAAGTGAGTTACATACCTAAAATTCAACAGCCTCATAAAGTAAAATGCTGTTCAACAGGAGTTTATTGTCTCCTCACTGGAAAAAAAAACACATTGGATCTTGAGTCCAGACTCTTGAAAACATTGACAAGAAAAATCTTTTGATTCAATCAGAATCAAGCTTAAATCAAGAACCAAGCCTCTCAATTTAACCGGATTTTGTTTTGATTCAAGTAAAAATCCGATTGAATCAAGAGCATTTTTTCTTGTCAATGTTTTCAAGAGTCTGGACTCTAGATCCAATGTGTTTTTTTTTT